ATGTTGACATTTTTTATTAGCATGAGTTTTAATTGAATGGGAACTATACTAATACCTATGTGTGTATGGGGTCTCAACCGAGTTCGGCCATCGCGACTTCACGTACATCAGCTGTTTGTCAAGTGACATGTTTAAAATTAAAAAAAAAAACATGTACGGAGACAAAGATCGTAAAAGTTCAACGATATACGGATACTTTTTTCACTATGAAATTGTGTTTTCTTTAACACAAAATTCTTAACCCAAAAAGTGCTGGGAGCAACTTCTCCATGCCCGGGAATTATATAACTTTCGACTTCTGATAAACTATGTGCATTTACACTATATGCATTGAAGAATGGTATAATTACGGAAAAAATCAACAACGCACAACTTGCTCCTAGCACTTTTCAAAATAGTAGGGACAGTAGCTACATGTGTATAAAATATTAAAATTTATAATCAAGGGGAAAATGTTGAACTTTTGAAATTTTGGAGGGGTTGTTAATGTGATTGTAGTACGTTTCTGTATAAAAGTGCACGGCTGCTGCTTTAAAGAGAGACCTAATACAGTAGTTAGCAATTAATAAAGACTGTGAATTATTGATTAATTCATTCAAACATATGAATCAATCATAGTCATATCACGCTTATTAAGATTTAATTTTCATATTTTCAGTTCCACTAATAGATTTATCTGCGTCTCAAGTACAGAGAAACTAGTCTTTAACGTCATATCTGTTAGTACAGCGAGACCAAGTTGGCTTTGCTTTTACTTTCGAATAGTGTTATAATGACAAGATAAGTTACACATTGATGAATATTTACAATAGTCATGAGAAATCAAAGTATGTAAGAGTATGAAAAAGAAAATTATTATTTATTCGCCGAGATTCATTTGTACAATTTCAGCGTGACGTCATAATCGAATTCCCGAGGCTCTGCATACACTAATCTACCTTTGGGTAGCCCTTAATCTAGCTGCGTATTTTCTACACATAGAAAGTTAATAAAGACTTTCTTTCATTCATGCTTAGTACACACACCATGTTAAAGCTAATACACATGATGGCGTAATATTATGAGGTCAGTTTTTTTCCCATTCAAAGTAATGAAATACATCAAAAACGCAAGCTAGCGCGCTTCATGAAATATGCCTACGTGACAAGTCTGTGTGGTTAACACACCAATAACTCACACAAAACTTAAAAACATTCCTTAATTAAATTTAAAATAAAAAAATGAATAATGTTTAGGAGAGTATTCTAAGAATTATCAAAAACGCAAATACAAATCCTATGCACTTTCTCAAACAATAAAAATCTGAGGAAAATACACTTCGCTGCTAATTTTACCCTGTTTCAACTCAGAACTGTTTGTTTAGTAACTGAACGTTTGCACTGTAGACATTTGTGCAGCATTTTCTCAAATCCGTGGAATACCCTACGTCTTTTGATACCCTGTTTCTGTAAAACAAATTAAGGTATGCCCTAAATTGCACCAAATCGATTTTGTTGATGTTTCTTATAAACTTGTGTAGTAGAACTCGATGACGTCATAAGTCTATACAATGTCACTTAAAATTCAATATTCTGAATTTATAAATTAAAAAAAGAGAGTTGAACAAATTCGTTAAACTTGATATACAGGACTCAATTTGTTATTTTTAAGATTTTTATTAAGGGATGACAATTTGTAACCGTTTAATTGTTTAATCGGTCGGATCGATGCTAGTCGGTTAGAAAAGCCAGAATCGGTTGGTGTCGTAAAAAAATAAAATGGATGTAAATTTGAACGCAGTTTATTTAAATCATTTCTGTCTTGTTCTTTTTTTAGAAAGGAAAGCGCTGCATAGATTTTTATTAAGTGTTTTACACATCTTATAATTCAGAATATTTTGTGGTAATTATAACTATCCAGATTAAGATCGCAGGGTAATTTAATAGTCAGTTCGTAAAGTGTTAATTACTGTTTTTATAACATCATGCCGTTACCCAGAAAGTCCTGTGGTTTTTTAATGATATCAAAAATATCACCGTTAAGTACTTTTAAGTATAGTATGTCTATATTTTGCCGTTATATTTTAAATTATTATATAGAACGTTGTAAATTGTAAATAAAGTAATCTGCGTTGAAAATTACACTGTCTGACTTCTCAAGCAAGATTCATGGTTATCTTAATTTTTTCTTGTCTATTGAAATTGAAATGAAATGTACTCTGATATACATAAAATTTTTCAATCAAAATAATAAACAGAATGTAATTTCTAACGTCTTATTAGCCTTTTTGTGTATATGAAAAGAAAATGTCAAAATGTTTACCTTGATACGACTAACCGGTTAATCGGTCGAAATGTTTTGCGGTTCTGCAATCGATTGCTATCCCTATTTTTAATAAGTTTGTGTCATCTGTTCTTAAATGGAGTCTTTCCAAACGTGATCTTTATTTAAACTTAATTAAATATTTACTGTATTATATGATATTATCGATAAAATATCATTATGAGGACCACTCTCTTTTTACTTACTTGATAAGTATACTGCTTCTTCTTTTATATCTGGTGTACATACAACTGTCATGTTGTGAATCTTCAAAGAATTATTTGAATGTATTTGAATGTCTTTTGGCGTTGGTATAACTAATTTTAAGAAGTTTGTTGGTATTTTATCGTCATATTTTCTAAAGCGTTCCTGTGCCGTATATGGATTATATTGGTCATTCCGGTATCTCTTCCATTGCTTTGGGGAGGTGAAGTCTGTCACAAATCGCTTTCCTGTAAATGTTGATTGAATGTTGACCGGTTTTAAGGCTGGTGCCGCTACATACCAATTTGGTGGGATATCAGTCCTGGAGACAGTCCAGAATTGTCCATAAAATTCGACAAAATGTCTATCATTTGCAAAAAGTGTTGGAAAACCGTTTGTCGGGGTCATGCTAAATAAACACCCCTGTATGTGATTTACTTTCAAGAAATAGTGCGGAAGAATATATCCTTCCGCCGATGGGAGGTGATCAGGTTCAATCATGAAGAAGCTACAGAAGTAAATCGTCCAGCCTTCTTTTCTTACTACGCCGTTTCCAATGTTTGTCATATTGAGACTTAATTTATGCTTCATACCATTTTGTTTTAAATTGTCTTCGATAGCTATTTTTATATCGAGAAAGGTCCCCATATAGTCCAGGTCAGCCTGTTGTATCGCATCTGCTGACACTAAGATTAGAAAAAAAGTGATGTAAGGAATCTGTATTTCACCCTACTATGTCTTGTACAAAAGACCTAGGTAAAATTTTACTCTAACAATTTTTGTAATATATCTTATGGGTATTCAAAATGTGTCATGAGGAATGTTTATATCATTTCAAATTAACATTAACAGTTAGGAGACCAAACTGTTTTCAGAAGATTTGGGTAAAGTGCATAAGATAAGTAGTACATACGGTGCACTAGATAAATATTACACGTAAAGTTTATCTATATGTTTTAACAAAGTAAACATGCATGATAAACCTAAAGATATTATGTAATGCAACACCTTGCTAATTTCCATATATATTTAAACCAAGGGAACATGTGAAAACATCAAATGAAATTTCTTCAAGGAAAAAACCTGTAAACCATCGCAAAACAAGAGCATGGTCAAAGAAATGTAAAAATTATCAGCTAAGATATTCTTGTCAAAAAATAAAGTGATATAATTTATTATATTACACATTGATAACTATTTTCTTCATGTCAAAGTCCACATGGCAAAGAAGGGTCCAGATTGTTTTTTTAGATGTCAGAAACATGCACGATCTAAATAATAGAATTTCATAAATAAACAATTTTTTCCCTTATAAATAAGCACCCCCCTTGCTGTTGTCAACATGAGATTAAATACCCAATCAGGGAAATACCTCTCACTTGCTTTGTTGAGTAGGCCTTTGGTTCCATGTGTGGCGTATAAATTCATCTAACTAAACGAGACGTGGGATGTATAATGGGGAGTAATTATAAAGTACAAGCCTTTATAGTCGTTAAAATGTTCACTATGGGTCACAGTTTCTTTATGTGTCACTAAAAAAACATCCTAGACTCACGACTTTCTTAAAAAAATGACGAGGGAAGTGACTCATGATAAGAGTGTTTGCGTTTCGGTACCGTACATGCGTCTTTGCACCCGTTACGATTTGCAGTTACATATTTATAACATCTCACATGTGTAATTTTTTTCCTTTACTTTTAAATAAGAATATATATTCAAATTTTAAACAAGGAAAGATAGTCAATTTTTGATTTTATATAAACCATCATTTTAACATTCATACTTTTTTTTTATTATAAAAAATTCAAAAAAATCTTGAGAAAAAACAATTTGATATGTACATGTTCAAAATAAGTTTCCTACCTGTTGCAGTTAACAAGAATAAAAGTAGACGAGACATTGCAGGAACTAGAATAACATTGTCGAAATCTTTTATCATAATGATATGTAATCTTTAAGACAAGATTAAAGAATACCTCAACAGCACGGCTGATGAACTCTGCTATCTGCATGTATATTTAATTTTAGAACAGACTTTGTATCTTAGTAACAAAAGCATTTGTACATGAAAGCAAGGCCAAGGCGACCTTGATTTGGAATATCGTAGATTGTATCCGTATAGAAATTCAAATTTTTATGACCTTTTAAAGATAAATTTTTATCCACGTTGTATTAACAAGAAGTATTTGTTGATAGGTAGCAAATTTTAAATATGTTTTATGTTTATAACTGTAGTTTTTTGAAATGGTTCTTTTTTAATTTATCCTCTGATTTCTATAAGAAAAAGCGTAATAAATATTTATCACAATGTATTGGCATTATTGCACAAGTTGTACGGGGTTTTATTACTGACGACAACCCCCCCCCCCCCCCCTTATTTGCAAAGAAAATCAAACCTTTAAATCATAAAAAGAAGCATCGGAGTGATCAGGCCTCAAATATATATGACACACAGATTTTCAACAACATACTGAGATAAATGAAAACAAATTGAACCGTTTCTCTTTTCGAAGATACATGTAGTTTTTCCTAAAATTCAATATTGTTGTTTCTTGACTAGAAGTCTGTCACATAACGCACGTCAAATTTAAAACAAACGTACAGAAACAGGTAAATTGTTTTCTTAAAAATGTTATCTTGAGCGCAGCTTAAAGCCTGAAAATGTGTCATTATCATAAAATATAGAAAAAGGTGTATGATTATTTTTTCTAGATATGAAAATGTATTTGAAAACATAGTTCTGATACTTTTTTGTTAAATTCGTCACGAATTTAAATTAGAAAACATTTTTGCTTACTATAATAGCAACATTTTTTATGTTTATAGTCTAAACATTGAAATGAAAACTGAGATAAATGAGTATTTAAATGTTTGAAAGCAATTTAACGCTTCATCAACATGACTAGATCTGCTTTGGTCATATACAATGCACACAGATGATGATCGACCTTTTGAAGCATGTAAATTTCATAAAACTCGAGTAATTTTGTACAGTCGGTTGTCCTGATGATAAATATTTGACCTTTTTCTCTGAAAACGTCCCTCATTAACATTGTTATATAAATATAAAAATTAATCAACTACATTTATGAATCTGCAATATACCATTTGAAGGACTTGTCCTAGCGTCCCCATCAGTGTTGAAAATGTTGATTAAAATAATGATTTCGGTTGTTTTCTTTGTTTGGATTTTTATTGGAAGGTGTCATTGCGTAAGTTTCCTTTTTTGTATTTACTGCCATAAGATTCATATACAGAGTATTATAAAGAAATGGCTTTCTGTACCGAAAACAAATACTGGAAAAGGGTAAAACTAAAACGAGTTACACGTGATAAAACTTGGTTCACGTGAAACAACTGCAATGAACATAAAATTAACTAATAGTAATTGCTGTACCTTTCAAAAATGTTACAAGCGGGAAAGAGAATATAAAACCTTTTTATAGATGATTTTGTCAGGTAAGTGTGAAATTGTTTTACAATTAATTACTTTTTCATCAACCTATATTGAATGCAGAGACTCTTATTTTAATTGATCATATACATGTATCTAAACGTGTTTAATATCTATCGTTTTAATGTAAAATTTTGAAAAAAAAGACATCGTTCATCTTCTTTTTTAAAGACCTTTCCATTCAGTCGGTAGAGCGCTTATGATCAAGAAGTCCCTAGTTCGAATGTCGGCCGTGACTGACCTAAGTCTATTTTAAAAAAATGGATTACAACTGTTCCCTCGCCACGCGTTCGACACTTTGAAGTGACGGTTGCGGGTCCTTTGGATTACGTTGCACAGTTAAGGTTACAATTGGAAAAATCGGCGGTTTTTTAATATAAAAAGTACATACTTTATTAGGATGGGCTATTCTTTGTAGGACTTCACTGATATCAAACAAATGTAATGTGGTTTACATCTACATGTTAGAGGTATTTAGATTTTTTTTATTTAGACTCGTCACGTGATGTCGACGTCACATGATTTTAGCAATTATACTTGCAGTTTAGAGGTCATCTATCCATTCCAATATTGCTTGATCATAACAAAGGTAATTTTTTTTAATTAATTCATAATCCTTTTCAATACTATGTGTAGCTTGTGAAAAGTGTTGTGAACCTCTATAGATTCCCTTTTTTGATTGCTAAAATTTAATTTTTTGGACGGCAGGTTGAATATTTTGCTGGTCAACTATATTAAATATAGCAATAATTGATTTATTAGCAAGATTGCATGAGGTTAGCTGCACTTTTCAAATATCTTAATGCTTCTTGAGTACATGTGTAAAAACTTGACAAGATATATGTAGGGTATGTCATTGCAATAAATCGATTTATTAGGGCCTTTCCATTACTTTTTCAATGAATCTGCATAAAACACATGACAGTATCACTTGTCTGGAGAATGCACGGACAGTTTATATATAAAATACATGGTTACTGTCTTGATATATAAGCGATATTTGGGCGAGGGTAAGAAAATGTGACAGAGGGCGAGGCTTATGTTTTCGACCCGAGCCCAAATATCGCTTAAATTTCAAGACAGTTATCATGTATTTTGTTTATCCTGCTACAAAATTTTTGACATTTGAACGTCCAAAACAAGCTATTTCCGACAGATTTAGGCACACCTCTGCAGTTAAAACTATGTCGCCATGGCGTAAACATTGCAATATACGTGACGTCACAATGCTTTTAGAACGTCGGAATGCATGCACGAGGCTTTATTAGGGCAGTGACCGGATAAAGCTTTGGTTTATTAGGTTACCTTTATTAGGTCAATGCAAGGGGTCGTTGCAGAATAAAAATATTATACTAGAATAGACATTGCATCCAAGTTAACGGCCTCTTCTTTAACTGCAAATAATATTTTATTTGAGAACAAAAGACATTTTTCATTGTACAAAATGTTAATTGATCAGCATCTCACTGTGTACAAACTGCGTCATTTTTGCGAGATGACGTCATATCGTTGCGATCGATGCTTCGTTCATATACTGTTGTGTGGGATTTAAACAACGACAAAACTGCATGTTATGGTATGTTTGTATGTAGTATACAGCTATTCAGCTCTTTTAAATAGCAAATAATTTCATTTTGTTGTATTCTGAAGACCTTATATTATGTGTGACGTCATAGTAAACATCTCCCGTTCAAATTAGGCCCCGCTTCCTTACTTTAACCTTAACTGTGCTGCGTAGACCTTAAAAACCGAGGTCTCATGTCACGGAAGGTGTTGGTACAATTAAGATCCCTCGTTGCTGGATAGCCCTGAGTACCCTGTTAAGGTCCAAATTTAAAGTCCTTTACCGGTATATAGTGACATCTCTATATGAGTGAAATATTCTCCAACGAGTCCTGAAACAAAACACAATCATTTTTTAAAGATAAATTATAAATGAACATAATAAGAGTTTTAACAAAATGTATGCATGAAAATTAAACGAATTCGAGGAGACATTATTAATTTTTTTTTTTTTTGATATCAAATGACAGACTTCCGAAGTTATACGGAAGATGGAGGAGCCGTATATAAAACCCTTGTATCTGAATGTATCTGAGGCTGCAGAAGAAAATAAAATCACTGTGTACGGAAGATTTCGGGGCCCAAAGGACACCACAGGAAAAATGAAATATGGGACGATTGTCAAATTTGATAAAGGTTTAATGTATATCTTTTTTTTTCTTATTTCACCTGATCATTACACCCTCGCAAAGAAGTTTGAGGGAAAATTGTTATTGTTGTTAACCCATCCACCTTATTGTTGGTGGATGGGTTAATTTGGTTTTGACCGTGAAATGGTGTGTATTTTGCATTGGAAACTCTACTTTGTCTTTTTGAAATATTAAAGTTGTGCAATTGAATAAATGAATTCAACATGGCAAAATATGGAACACTATACCATGCGTGTTCAAAGTAGTAATAGACAACGTGCAGGATTCAATATTAAAAGACCATTAAAGAATACAAATCAATGGTAGGGTAAACACGGATCTCAAATACATCAGAGTAGAGGTCTGGTGCCAGATAATAAAGATTAAAAAATATATATATATATAGCACAATACTAAGTTCAAGTTTGCCGTTGATTGTAGCTGTTGTCTTTAATATTCCTGCACAAATTTAGCAATGGCTTTGTGACATTAAACGTAAGCATAAACATTACTCCCTTTGAACAATATACATGTGGCTCTCACAGTTTTATTTTTAGGGAATAATAATAATCTGACTTGCATGTAAAACATTTCATTTAGCTTTTGAAACCTTCCTTGACTAATATGTTACATGTCTCCTTATTTGTTTAGTTTTAGAATCAACGGAAGGTTCAACAGAGTATGAATTTGTTTTGAGACATGACTCACGTAGATATTGGCCGAGAATTACGTTCAGTTCAAAATCAGCATCAGAATCTATGAAGATTTATTTGAACTGGATTGTGGACGACCCAGTACAATCCGAATTTACCGGAGGAGAGTGCTTGGTCGGGATAACTAAGACCACCGAGAACCATTCTACAACTTACACACCAGTTCTGCAGAACTGTGACCACCGCATTAGTGATTACTTTAAATTTGGATTAAATGTATCTGGTAAAGTAGTTAAGCTTCATTCAGACATGTACTGCTTTTCTGGGAATGAAGAATATGAAAAGTACTTCACGTCTAACTGTACAACGTATGGAGTTTATGACCTCTCATACGTTACCTTTCACGAAGGCAAAATGGCGGCCGACAATGCTGAACTTCTTTATCTCAATTATATGTTCGATCCGATGGGACCATGTGCATACCACTGTATTGCAGATGTGAAGGAATGGTATTTCCCAATCATTTAGTGGAGTGAAAATCCTATGAAAACAATGCGCTTGATGCAAAATGTAAAATTTTCCCAATTTTAAAAAAAAGAAATCTTACAGCAACGTTTGAGCTGTCTGTCAGATATGTATACTATACATACTTAATTAGTGAGCCTG